AGAAGGATGAAATAGTTTCTATGCTAAAGAGGGAAAACGATATGCCCGGAGATAGCAAAATTTTAAAAAAATCACATGCAAGTATCGGTGTTGTCCCATGTTGGGGGTCTATATAGGGACAGAAGTCTTTGGGCACGTGAAATTCTGTATAAAACCGAACATGCATAAATGTTGCAATTTTCCTCTCTTTGCAAACAATTTTCTTCTCTTTGCAGACATGCATCTATCAGTGTTCTCCTGTGCGGTGGTGTCAATGTTATGCCTTGTGGGGGTGTACAGACCGGCTGAGGGGTACCCGAGCTGGCAGGAGGACGATATGGACTGCCTGATGTCGTGTGAGACTTGTCTGTCCATGTACGAGTGGCCTCGTCACTTCGACCTGGCGTCGTGCTACCGACAGTGTGAGCGGTCCTACCTACCTGTCAGGTAGACTTTTTTTTCTATTTTTAATGTTGGAAAATATATGGTTTTTGCTCTTTTTCCTTTTCTTCTTCTTTTCCTCCAAACCAATAAGGTCAATGACCTGAACCAGACGTCTGTCACCGAGGGAAAACATATCGTTTTTGCACTGATTTCTTTTCTTCTTCTTTGAACCAATAAGGTCAATGATCTGAACCTGACGTCTCTCACCATGGTAACTGGTGTTGGGTTACATCATGTTGCAATTATGGAGCAGGAAGGATTTAGACTCTTGTCTGACCATATATATGCATTCCTTTGAGCAAGCAGATGATGGTTAAACACATTTGTGCATTTATCATCCATAATAAAATGTGTTCGTTTTCAATCTCATTAGGACAAAATGAAAAAAACCTCTGGTCGCGGAATTTTTTTCGCAACTATATACTATATTAATTTTTTAGCTATGTTAACTTTTTTATATCTTAATTTTTTATATCTTTAATTTTTTTATATTTTTTTATCTTCCAGGTACTCCGAGTGGTCCGTTTGCGAGCTGACGTTAAAGATGGGCGATACAAAGCCAAGCACACCCATGGGGGTGTTCAGGGGCAAGCGCGCAGCCGTGTGGAGAGGGAGGTATCGGTAGAGACTTTCCAGAACGGGACTGTTGTATCCAGAACAAAAATGTTGTATCCAGAACAGAACTGTTGTATCCAGAACCGTGGCTTCTGGGTTCTATGCCTGAATGGGTTAGGGTTAGGATCAGGCATGGTGCTGGATTGTCTCCGCGTATCCAGAACCGTGCCTATCTAGTTCTGTGCCTAAATGGGTAAGGGTTAGGATCAGGCATGGTTCTGGATTGTCTCCGCGTATCCAAAAACGTTGGTTTGGCCTCGGTACAGTTCTGGATGGTCCATGGGTATCCAGAACCGAACCGTGCCTGAGCATGATTCTGGATAAAGCACTGTCCTGGATACGCGTGGACTATTCAAACCCATTTCTGAGCACGGTTCTTGATACGTGTAGGCCATCCAGACCCATTCCTGACCACAGTGCTGTATTAAACAAGGTTCTGGATACGTTTGGACCATCCAGAACAGTTCCTGAGTAAAGTTCTGGACACAAAAAGCACGGTTCTGGATGCAACAAGGACTGACTCGGTAACGTTTATTCGGGACCAAGACACCGTGAACGTGGCAAATCTACAGAAGTACTTGTGTGTAATTAAAGATTGTGCAGTTTTATCCTGAGAGCTCATCTGTGTTGGTAGAAGTCATGATGAAACAAGTTTAAAGTGTAATTTCCGACAGAAGATATTGGACTTTCTACTGTACAACTCCAGTCTGTATCAAGGACAAAGAAAAAGACTGGGCCTACAATCAACTCCTCACATCTGCATAAAATAGATAAATAATGTTTGCATAGCCTGACTGAAAAAAAAATGGAGGATTGCTTATTTGTTGACACAGACAGGAGTTCTACAGTCGAAAATATCTGCAATTTTGTTTCCAGTGTCCCGATGTCTTATTGTACTTAAGGCTCTCTTTACATCAAAACAAATTGTCATAAAAAGTCGCCTGTTAAAGATAACCCATTGCGCTGGACGCTACATATGCAGCCACAGATGATAAAAGTGTAGCCAGAAGCACCTTAATGTTACACGGATGGGTCAAAGTTGCAGAAGTATGAGTAGAAATACATATGTATTACTTGGTTTAAGGCCACACAAATGTAATTTTATTGGTGACTTTTCAAGTTACACTGATATCATAGACCATACATGTATAGCCAGAGGCACGCCAATGTTACACGGATTGGTACGCTGTATGTCAAGTAGAGATATTACTTGTTTTAAGGCAACACGGAAGTAATTTTATTGGTGACGTCTGCTGCCGCACTGATACGAAATAACTTAAAGGCAAACTCCAGGTTTTGTTCATAGATAATGGCCTCTACAAGAAGCAAAGTAATGTCACACTGATACAGATTAAGGTTTACAGCTGTATGAGTAGAAATATTGCTTGGTTTAAGGCAACACAGAAGTGATTTTATTGGTGACGTCTGCAGTCACACTGATACGAAATAACTTAAGGCAAACTCCAGGTTTTGGTCATAGATAATGGCCTCTATCAGACGCACCTCAATGTTACACAGATAGGTGACGGTTTGCAGCTGTTTGAGTAGAAATATTACTTGGTTTAAGGCCACAAAACGGTAATTTTATTGGTGACTTCTCCAGTTACACTGCTATCATAGACCATATACATATATAGCCAGAAGGTTACCGCTATATGTCGAGTAGAAATGTTAGTTGGTTTAAGGCAACACAGAAGTAATTTTATTGGTGACATCCGCATCCGCATCCGCACTGATACGATATAACTTAAAGGCAAACTTCAGGTTTTGGCCATAGATAATGTCCTCATTACAAGTATAGCCAAAAGCACGTTCATGTCACACAGATACAAGTTACATCTGTGGAGATGTTACTTGGTTTAAGGCAACACAAGAGTGAGTTTATGTGTGACTTCCCCAATTCCACTGATATCATAGACCATACATGTATAGCCAAAAGCACACCAACGTTTAATGGATACAGGTTACAGCTGTATAAGTAGAAATATTACTTGGTTTTAAGGCCATACAAATGCGATTTTATTGGTGACATATGCATCCGCAGTCAGACTGAAATGGAATAACGTAAAGGCAAACATGTTTTGGTCATTTGCACATATAAAGCGGGCCTCCTCCGAATGAAATTATTAGTAAATAATAGTAATTACATCAAGAAATCAAATCACGATACTTTGGCAGTGAGATGTCAGCCATAAAACCTTCTTGCTGCGGCCCTACATGGTTCCGATTTGCTGCAAATGAAGTGTCAGTAAAAACATGTCGGCCTCTCCGCTCCACATCCCGCTAACATCACCTGACCCCGGCCCTGACCCCGAAAATTGGCATCCCCGGGCTCGTTCCCAGGGGTCGCCAGGTTGCCATAACGACCCGCATCTCGTCCCCAGGGATGTTTGTAAAGTGGCTGGCGATGCCCTCAGAGCGGACTGTGCACGGAGAGTGTTCATTATGACATTAGGGGAGTACCGTTAGCGTTAATAGCTGTGTAACTGACAGGGATGTAAGGAAGAAACTATCTATGGAATAACGGCATTAGGGGAGTACCGTTAGCAGTAGTAACTGTGTAATGGCGAGAATGTACGGACAGGAGTACCGTTAGCAGTAACAACAGTGTAATGGCGAGAAAGTACGGACGGTCGAATAACGGCATTAACGACCAGTGTAACCGCCGGGAGACAAGAGACGTTTGCGGCCCGCTTCTGTGTGAAAAAATGTACCCGATTTAACAAGCGGAGGCTGTGTGAAAAATGTACCCAACTTAACATGTACGACCGGGAATAACGTTAGCAGTAATAACTGTGTAACGTTTTCGCTTTTGTGTGAGAAATGTACCCGATTTAACACCCGTAAGCCGTGTGTGTGGAATAAAATACATGTATTTTCGTGAACCCCTCCAAGTGTGGACTCGTTATGTGTTAATTTCATGCTTGGTTGTATTGTATTGAATGAATGAATGAATGAATGAATGAATGAATGAATGAATGAATGAATGAATGAATGAATGAATGAATGAATGAATGAATGAATGAATGAATGAATGAATGAATGGATGGATGAATGAATGATTGGATGAATGAATGAATGAATGAGTGAAACCTTTATTGTAAAACATACCCACTGCTATAGGTCTAGGTTACAACAAAGCAATAGTTTACAGACGAATTAATGCATACTAAAGCAACTGGATATGATTTTGGAAGCGGCCATGCGCTTCAGTGTATTTGTGCATCTGCTTATTGCGCTGATCTGTCTCCATCATAAAAAAAAAACTGAAAAAGAAATCTGTTCTGGCAAATAAATCAGCATCAGATATCGAGTCTCAAATCAGACGTTTGTGCAGTACTTAATACGGCCGCATGGGGGCCACAGGCGCCTGGGTACCTGTCACAGACAGTCCTGGGAAAGAGAACGTATTCTATGTACATAGTATCCTGGGGACGGTCCCTATACGCTACAGAATGTTTTGATGTCGTGACGCCCCCCTCCCCACCCCCAAGCTCTCGGCAGTGTAGTTAAAGAATAGCGACTTTACCGGTGAATGAGGTAAGTTCAGAAAAATATGTTTACCATAATGTTCCCACAACCTTGAGAATACTAGTAGCTTCATACATGTAGACGTTAGAATTCGTTTGGGTGTATATTATGCTATGTGCATGTCGCACAGTTACTTGATGATTGGGTTTAATCAAAACTTTTCACATAGCATTAAAGCCGCCAGTGACAATGAGACTAGTGTCAGAAACTAATCTAGAGTCACGTTAGTGTTACAGAATAGACAGTAATATTCACACACACATGTGCTCTCCTAGAAACACTTCCGGCATCACACAAGCACAAGGCACCAAGAGTTAAATACATAGAGAGACAATGTCTCTAAACTGAACCAAGCCCAAACCAGCACCAAGAGACCACATCTAAGGATATATTAGACATTAAACAAGGACAACAACAACAACATGGCCTTCAGCTAGCTCTGATATCACAAGAGGCAAGTTTTTCATGCTACGGAATACATTTACATCTTACTTTTTGCTTGGTTTTGTATTGTTATTTGGCTACATAATTCGAGTGCTGTGTTACATGTGCATTTCTGATGTACATATATTATGTCCCTTTTGATGTATACGTATTTACGAATGATACGACAAACTCCGTTCGACATGCTTCACATTGGTATGCAAATTTTACTTTTACATATTAGTTGATCCACTATTTTGACTTCCTATTATCTTGATATGATGTCCGGAAAAACACAGAGTCTTGCAATACTACACGTTGATCCGATTTTCCGGCAAAATACATGTATCATATGCCGGCTATTCCGTATGTGTCAATTTATTGTGTTGGTGAATAAGCTTAAAGTGCCCCCTGGCGATCCTTAGAAATATCGCACAATGGTTTATCCCTGGCCAATGTTCCTTCTGACAAAGGACATGCTCTGACCGAGGACTCAATCCTGGAGCCAGCCAACTTTTATATCCTGCAGCTGTGGGAGCCAGCAGAGGGCAGGAAGAGAAGGGGTAGAGGAAGCATAACTTTCATTGACACCCTGAAGCGGGATGCTGGGCTCAAAAACATCACCACAGCAGAACTCTGCTCACTGATGGAGGACAGGGATGAGTGGAGAAGATTGCTTCCCCGTGATGACATCGCTGATGTCCACGTTCAAGGCCCAAGGTACATCATGTACTGCAATTCCTATGTCTATATTACTATACTGTATAAGTGATGATGACTATGTCATTGTTCTAGTAGTTTTGCTGGCATTGTGCGAAGCGCCATCTTGCGACATGAGCGTGCACTACCACAAAGAGTGAAGTGCGATCAGGATGAATTAGACGCTTTACCAATTCATCCGTAAAGCGTCAAACCACAGTGATACATAACGTGCATAGTACTTTATAAGGATTGGTTTTAAACGACAGTGATCTTAGTCCAAGAATATATCATTCTCATATTCCAATTTGAACAGCATGTCACAAGAACATAGCATCATACTGGGGACCTGCATGCCCTTTTCCGTAAGGCGTAATTAGTCTTC